CAGGTGTCAGTACGAAGCAGCAGAGGAAGACAGCGATGCCAAGACAAAGGTATAGCTGCTGCAACACCTCAGGGGTGAGGGGAAGGACAGCGTTCCTGAGTGCTGCCCAGCCAGCAGCAGCAGCTGCTGCTGCTGCTGCTCCCGCGGGAGTAAAAGCTGCTGCTGCTGTGTTGGAAGCGTGAGCTGCAGCAGCAGCTTCAGCCACAGATGGCGGCTGCTGCAGCTCTCGAGAGGGCTCGGTCTTCCGTAAGGCAGCAGAGTTGGCTGTGGAAGCCTGCATGATGTCTATGGGCACGAGAAGGGCAAGAAGAAGAGCAAAGGTGAGTGTGAAGCAAAATGATAGAGCTGCAATCGGGCTGCTCTTCCGCCTGTCGACAAAGTGATAGTAGAGCAACAGCGGCAACACAAATGCAGCGCCGGCTGCAGCAACAGCCCCAAGGCCCACAAGTAACATCTTCAACCTCCCTCCCACACTTCATTTCGAACCAAAAGCGGCGGCAGCAGCACTGAAGGCCTGCAGTAGCAGCAGCAGCATCAGCTGCAGCCGCAGCCTTCCCTTAAAACGAACAACACCCAGCGCAGACAGGAGTTGGCGTTCCCCGAGGCTCCCCACTATAATCCCCTCAGCCGGTAGTCCAAGGCTCCATTCTAATGGATCAGCTACGAGGGAAGCTTAGGTGACCAGCTGAACCGGCGTTTTCTTGTGAGTATGGGTCAGGGCTCAAGTGAAAGTTTCGGATCTTGCTACAGTGTCAGTATGGCGGGAGAAGACTCAATACGAAGCTGTTCAGCATATATTCGATAAAAAGGGGGGAAATATAACTAAAGTAATCGTCTTATCTTCAGGCTCACGACTGGCCTCGTGAGACTCAACTGAGGCGATTCGGGCGGTCCGGAGATAGACCAACACCGACCCAACTGTGCATCGAAATTACCCTTTTTTATTGTCCTTTGTTTCCATTTTATTTAAAAGTTGAGGACAATTTAGTTTTAAACTCAGAAAGTCACTTTTTCAGTCCTGTTTGCCTTCCCACCGCTCGTTTCTGCGGGCCTGCATGCGAGTGGAACTCGACCGACCGACCTCCCTTGGGCAGGTGCGCCGTCAAAAAGGCTGCAGCTTTGCGAATCAAAAACGATTAAGATAACTCTATATCAAAAAAATTAGACTTTTTTGGATTGTCTGGAGAAGTGCTTAAGGGGAGAGTCGGTGTTAAAGTGCCGCCGACGCTCCCACTCGACGTCTCTTGTATGTTCATGTTCACGTTCATGCATCTGCAGCTTGTCTTCTGAACTTACTGCTAGCTCTAAGCCTAGTAAAATATTTAAATATTACTGTTGTTGGTATACAAAACGAGCAGAAAAGTTGAGTCAATGGACCTTCTTTACAACCCCAAAACGGACGGCAGCCAGAGTCTCCAGCTGCATGTCAATGAGCTGCTAATAGGTAAACCGGCAGGCGTCCAGTTTTCGTTGTTTTCGCTACTTATTTACGTGATTTTTGAGTAGCGTACATCAAAGCCCTAAATTCCTTCAAAGCATGTGGATTTGGGCATAGTATTTTTTCCCCGTTTAATTGAAAGGGCTCAAGCGGAACAGTGTCAGTCCAGCGTAATTAACTGCGCAGATCGCTGGAGAGTCGCGTGATGTTTGCTCAGTGAAGTGCAAGCCCTTAGATTCATATTGGCAATGTCTGGTCTAGCAGCTGCACGGCAGAACGCCTTTACATCCGTGTGATGAGACGCGCACCGTTGCACGCCCTGTACTTGAAAACAACGGCAAATGCATATATCACGTTGCCTCTCTGTTGCATTCAGGCTGTCAGAGATTAGATCAAGAAGCCTCTGACTTGCTGCATACGGCTGCGGCTAAGACGAAGACGTT